GGACTTTCCTTACCAAGAGTATCCGAAATTTTCTTTGCCGGGACCAAAATGGAGCCGAGTGTTCAGCCAATTTAAGGGTAGAGAAGCTTCACACATCTCGCCTTGAAGATGCACTGCAAATTCCTGCTATATTTAAATGTGATCAAGGAACAGTATGTGATGGAACCGAGGGCCTTTGTATCCTTCTCAAGCGATTTGCCTACCCATGTCGCTACTCTGACATGATCCCGATTTTACATGGGCTTCGAAGCCAATCCCGGCTAGATCCAAATGTAATTTAAAACCGAGATCGGCAACTGAAAATTAAATCAGTCAATGTATGAGTAATTCACAGAACAGAGGTTTTTACCGAGATTGCTTAGTGGTAAATATCTTGCTATTCTTCTGTGTTTTAACGAGATTTGAGCCATTTTAGCATATTTTGGTCTAGGTTGTACTGACACTACAGTCTTATATTTACACTGCTGTTTATGATTATGACTCAGCAACCGACTTTTTAAATAAAAAATAACAAAGAAGATTCTTAAACATCTAAAATAACACAGGTACTGTTAATTAAAAGGTCTGTAGAAACCAAAAAGACCACCAATTTACTCACGTTTTATCAGCGACGAGAAAAGCCTTCTAGCGACGTCCGTCGCCAGCAACAACGCAGCACATCTGACTTTTGGTCATGCGCAATGAAGCTCTCAGGTGTTATTTTACTTTCGGTTCTCTTTCGCGACGTCCGCGTTCCTGTATCTTGAAGTCCCTAATGAACGTATTGCGAAACTTTCAAAGAAGACGAGTGTTTAAAGATGGATAGCGGGAGGGTTCAAAGAAAGAAACGAAGTAGTGCAGAGCCTCTGGTCAGAGGTGTCATTTTGAAATAAATTGAAATACATTAAGAAAATGTATGCACTTCACTCGACGCGACGCTAGTGCGACGTTAAAACTGAAGACGCGTTCTCGATATTTTATCCGTCTTACCAAGACGGATAAAACGTCAAGGACGAATTTAATTCGTTTTAGACGTCGCGCTATCGTCGAATTTGATTGCTTGGGGGACCTTGTATTAAATTCGTCTGAATTAAATTCGACTGTAGCGCGACGTATAAACTGGGCCTAATTCTCCTTTCTGGCGGAGGCAACAAAAAGGATTAAACCTATTTCTTGTACTTTCTTGTTTCTTTCTTTGAACCCTTCCGCTATCCGTCTTTAAACACTCGTCTTCTTTGAATTCGAGTGTAGCGCGACGTATAAACTAGGCCTTAGACGTACCAGAACAAAAGGGTAATGGGAGGAATGTCCCGGGAATGAAGGAAAAAAAAAAAAAACCTGGGTAAATAAATGAATTAAAGAGGACGTTACGACCGAAACCCCCTCCATAAAACACTAGCAGATTACTTGTTCTAATCTCGCACAAATTATCAATTGGGCAACAGCTACTGATTGAGTGGGGGGGGGGGGGTGAGGGGTGGTAGGTATTCAATGCAGGAGTCTACGACTCCATCAGATATCCCTGACCAGATTTAATTTAACTTTTTATTACATCCATTTTGAAATCACTGTTGGTCCCTGTAATCTGATTGGCTCTAATTGGTGCGATTTATTCCCAAATCGCACCATTTTTTGCTCTAAATCGCATCTTTTTTCCAGCCAATGAGGAATTTACACTTAAAACAAACAACCAATCAGATTTCAAGGCTTGTTTAAAGTGACCAATCAAATTGCAGGAAAATGAAAAACAA